AACTGGTTGATAGAAGCTTCCTTTAGTTATGATGGTTGTTCTTGATAATTTGGCCTGTTGCATGGCACTGGCTATTTAAGTTGGATATGTTATAATTTAGAGCCTGTTTCATGGAACCGGGTACTTGAGTTGGAAAGAGAATGATATGATTTCTCTACATTGCATAGAGCGGCTACATATTATGCTTAATTCTTGTTGTGTCTTTTGACTTATGGTTAAATTAACTCTTATGCAGTTACAAGATGCTGGATGCTGGACTGATGCTGCTACTTTAGCCGCAGCACATTTAAAGGGATCTGATTATGCAAGGTTTCTGATTTTTTGTTTCCCGAAAAACATTTTATATTTTTCTAGCTTTTAAATTCCTAGCATTAGCCTTACTCCATTTTAATTCCTGGGATATGCTGAAGTTTGCCCATGTGACGGCTTAATGATATGCTTTTTGTCTATGTAACATGCTCATCTGCCATGTTTACTGTAAGCCGATGAAATTTTGATCTCATGTTGCAAAGCAATCAATTTGATTTATTCTTCAAGATACTTAAGGCGAGACTCTGCCTTTAACCAAGGTTGGGATACCTTCATTTTACGTTGTTCTTATTGCAGGGTTTTACAAAGGTGGGCAGAGCATGTCCTTCATGCTGAACACAACATTTGGAGGTACAAGAATTTTTTGTTATTGTTCTTCTAATACTTGGTATCCGTTCATTCTAAAGCTTAACATGGTTCAATGCAGGGCTCTTATTTTATTTGTTGCGGCTGGGGCAATCCAGGAGGCATTGGCAGCCCTCCGTGAGGCGCAGCAACCAGACACAGCTGCCATGTTCATACTGGCTTGCCGTGAAATTCATGCAGAAATCAGCACTAATTTAGTTGGTTCAGATGATGAATCGGGGTCATCAATCAATGATACACCGGTTGACTTGCCTGGTTTAAACCCAGCTAATGAAGATGTTATTGCAGTTGGTGAATATTTTGGGGAGTACCAAAGGAAATTGGTGCACCTATGCATGGACTCACAACCATTTACAGATTGATTGGACAAGAGCAGTGTTGTTCCACCACATTCTATGATCTACAGTGAATTAATGGTATATTTTGTTGGAAGAACGTAACAACTGAGGGCTAGCAGAATGGGTCCCATCCCATCTCAGCCTAATATGCCCGAGTAAATGGCAAGATTTTTCCTTGTATTCTAGTCCGGCTCAAGGATCAAGTACTCGAGCAACATTACGGAGTAGGAACAATTTGTTTTTGAACGGTATCATTGCTGATTTACGCGAAGATGGCTGTTGTAGAAAATGTTAACGGAAACATCCAATATGTTGTGTAAAATTTTGGATGCTGTTAAAACCTTAAACCCACAGAATTTGGTGTTCAGGAGTGAGTAGCGCAGTGTCTGCTCCCTCGAAAGAAATTTATTGCTATACAAGACATTGGTCGAGTCAATATTCTTCATTGATAGTTGCCCAATGTGGTAATTTCACAAAGATAATCTCCAATGCTGACCAGTCTAATTGATTAGAATCCCTTATCTGTATGAAATTTCGATTCCATTTTCTATGCCTAGGTGCCTTTCTCTCCAGTAGAAAGCAATCTAGTACGTAAGAAATATTTTCTGCAAAGAGTGGAAATTTCGGGGATGGAGCAATCTGAATCTCAAAATTTTAGTAAATGTAGTAAGAATTCAAGACATATTTAATAAGCGAAGAGAAATGCATATAGCATACGTTATATATTTAACTCTTTCATGAATAATCATGATTGTTTCCAAACACAAAGCAAGACTGTAGGAGATATGTTTTGAGAGTTGGCTCTTATGTATGTCTTCATTAATCATAAAGCTACATCATCGACACACCAAGCTAAAAATGGGCGCTTTTGGTACATGAATAATGAGTAGTATCCAACAATTGAAGAAACAAATGATCAACTTCTGGGTGCAGCCATATCAAACATGTCATTTCCTTCTCATATTTAGCTTCTAGAAAACATCACAAAATTGGGGTACAAATTTCTCAGCTAGTTTCTGTATCCAGAATAATGGAAGGCTTCTGAGTACACGTGTAAGTGGCCAAACCTTTTTTGTTTTGCTGAAAGAATGCTGTTCACCATAGAAGTGAAGTTCATGCATAATAAGAGCAGTTGATGTCCAGTGACATCTCCCCTCATGTACAGTTGCATCAAAAAACTCTTGAACAATGAAACTGACAAGTTTTCAAAATTAAATGCCTTCAAAATTCACCAAATACCAAAAACCTAAATGCCAGAGATACAGATGCATTGATATCCGGTAGGGATAACGTACCTTCAAGATCTTGAGCACTCAGTGAAAGAATCTCCTCCGATACCGAGCAGATCCAAGCTCCTCATACTCAGCCTTGGTGACACACATTGATTCAAATTCAGGACTGGTTGCCAAAAGTGAACCCGCTCGCCACACACCTAGGATCGGACCGACAAGTATCCCAAAGATTTTACTAAATGGAAAGAAATAGTTTTTCAAAGAGATAAACATATTAGCACTTTATTGAATGTGAGGGTTTACTCTTCTTGAGTTGTTATCTTCACTTGATAGTCATCTGGGACAGGTGGGCGGAGATCCTTTTTGTCTGAATTTTAGCATAAAATTATGACTAAATCAAAGTGGTGTCTCTTTAAATTGGCATTAATACAGTCTAATAATGGAGATGAGATCAAGCTTGCAGTCTTTCAGCAAATCGAGGAAACAATGTGCTGCCACCAGTCAATAATATTATGCTGTCCAAGCACAACATTTAAACACTTGTAAGTGGCATAAGCAGATTAAATTTGAAAAAACAGATACTTTTAAGATTGTACTTGAAGAATAGAAAACCACTTTTGATAAAGTACCGGATGAACATAAGGATGGCAGGCATTGACAGCCCGAACAATGCATTCTGCTAGACCAGCCTCATTCATTCCTGTGGATAGAGGGGGTTTAAGTCGGCACTTTATCTTTATTTAAGTACAAGTAAAAAATGAAACAATGTTCCCAATTCTTACATCATTAGTCATTAACACAACACATCATTTTCTCAAATGATTTCTTCTCTATCCCAAGCTTTAACAAATTAGTAAAATACTAATAAGAGTTACAAATTCCAAAACTCACTGCTTCCAAACTACAAATAACTACTTGAATATCTTCTACCTTGATTCCCATATGAACCGGACAACTCTAAAGGTGTACCTCACTTTTAGCAAAAAAAAAAAAAATGATACACACTCAAATCCGCAGGTTGGAAGATCATCTCCGGAACAAGAAACCATTCATTTGATAAGTCAAACTCCTGTACAAGGCAGCCAAGGCAATACTTTGAATATCATTGATGGGCAGGCAAAATCAGCCACTTAACAAGAAAAACGAACACTACATTTTTAGTTAAATCCACTCTCTTCCTCTCCCCAGTCTTGTCCACAGCTTCTAACTGATCTGCCTCTCTCTTTGTTTCCATAGCTCGTTAAGGAGAGGCTCCATCCGTCAAGGTAAGATGCCACTGTGCTGCTTCCGGGTCTTTAACATAACCCTTTGTGTGAGTGACACCATCAGGGAAGACATAAGTACATCTAAAAATATTGTCTTTTCCATGCTTCGTGCAACATTTCAAAATTGCAGAACAAATTGCTTGCTGCTTTCCAGTGTTTATACCACACATTGCAAGCAATAATAATAACTTGGTTTTCAAGAAATACAAAGAAAATAGAACATGAATATTACAAAAAAACAAAAAAAAAGAGCATTTCAATAGAAAAGACATATAGGACTAGTAATATTTTTGAAAAAAAAAACAAATTATAAGTATAAAAAACATATTTTAGTCCTGAGCTTTTAACCATCAGATTAAAAACGTTTAAGAGAATATAAAAATTTGATTTCAAATTAAATCTTCTCTTTTCTCTTCACTTATATTAGAGTTTTGGCCTGACGTAATAAAAAATAAAAACATATTTTAGGCAAAAATAAAAACAACTTTTTTGGGGGTATTTACTGGGAAATCTGGTGATCTCTTTCAACATCAAGAGAAACAAAGCAAAGCTTTTCTTTAACATCATCCATTGTAGAACTCTCATCCATTACATTAACCGCCCTATAGGAAACCAATTCCTTCAGATAATTAGCCAGAACTTTCCCACCTAAATCAATCCTCTTTACCCCATAATTCACCGTACGGTTCTGGAATACAGGCACCGCATGCGTAAACGAGAACCCACAATCCACCATCAAACTACACTGCGCCTCCGAAACGAGCCTGAACGGATGGCGGCTGACTGCGGAAGTCTTCGAAGACGAGTTCGTCGGTAGAGCGTTGGATGGAAGGGAGGGAAAAGAGGGGGTTCGGTTAAGAGGAGGAAGGAAAAAGAAGGGGTGACATGGAGGAGAGAGGTGAAGAGGTGGGACCAGATGTCGCGTTGTCGGTCGGGGTTGATTAGGCAGCCGCGGTCGATGGGGCGGCGGATGGCCGCGGAGCTTAGGTCTTCGGTTGTGAAGGCGAGAGTGGTGATGGGGTGGATGAACTTTTTGGAGTTAAGAGGGCGGTAGAGGCAGTTTGGGATTACGAAGGCAGGGTCGCGTTCGCCACCTCGGCCCGCTTTAATCAGGCCTCCGCCACTGTCGAGTACGACGACATTTGACATTGTGCGGAAATAAGAGAGTGATTCCTGGAAAGTGGACTGTGATACGGAGATTTTTGCTTCTAGGGATTCAGCAGTGGTTTAATGACATTCTGGGCTTGAAGCCTTCAACTTCAACACCCTAGCTGGTAAACTCGATTCCATTAAAAAAATAGTAATAAAATTTAATTGAATGAAAACCCTAGCTGGTAAAGGTGATGCTTATTCCTCCATGGGTTTTGTAATATTTATAATTATTTTAAATTTTAAATGTTGGTTTTAAATCAATTATTAGTTTATCATTTTTAACACATAAACTGTTGATTGTAATTCTAACATAATTTTTCTTAGTGCACAATGAAAGTTAGAAGTTGCCGTCGAATTTGTAGTTTGTGTTTTTCTCAAAGTGAGAAGAAACTATAGGAATTGGAGAGGGCGACATCAAATTTTGGTTGGTGCAACTGCAAACGGAACTTCATCCTCCAAAGTAAAATTTTTCCCCATACTCTTGTGCCAGTTGGTCCGCATCAGCCGCTTTTGGGCGGCAATTAAAACTCCCCAATAATTAATTAAAGCTTGTTGCAAGGATCAACAAAGTGCGAGCAAAACAAATAGGAAGCAGTCAGACTCGGAAAGATAAAGAAGAGTAGAACCAGTCAAGATCTTGGTCAGCTCAGGCAATGCAGATGGAGCTGGCCATTCTTTAAAAATTTCACGCTAGTAAGAGGTATCTGACTAGTTCAAAACTAACTGCTTGGTTTAAAGAGATGTTTACATAAGGTTGTCTTCTCCTCAACCAGCAAAAATCAACAAGCAATTGTTATAAAGAGCAATCTTTTAGCACATCTGAATAACAATGTAGGCCACTGAAAGAAGGCCGCATAAACTTCCCATTGCATAATGGCAACTATCCATCATATACTTATACTGTAAGGTTTATCAAATCTTTAATGTTCATTGCACCCTCTGATGCAAGTAACTGTAAGTACATGTAAATAAAATGAAAGCAGGAGAACTGAAAGATGGAAAAATATCTTCCAAATATGTTGGCGCAGAAGCTTGATGCGATAGCAATAATGTGCATGGGAAGAACAAACGATTGATAAACAAGTGAATCAGTAAGGCGGATAATAGTACCCTCCAGGCTGCCCCATGCCATTGACTTGTGGCATCCCGTAAGGCATCATCACTGGTTGTGCAAAAGGGGCATAGTAGCCAGAACTAGCACTGATCTTGGCCAGACTTGCTTGACCATGCATTCCATCCCTTCCATATTGATGCCATAGCTGCTGTTCCTGTACAAGCAACTGCTGCTTCCGCTCCATGTCTGCTATCTGCACATATGAAGGAGGTGGCACTGCAAGGGATGCAGCAAAAGGGTCCTGCTGACCCACTGGTTGTACTGTCCCATCTGGGGCAGGCAAAGCTAGAACTTGAGTAGCAGTCTTGCCCGGGCCAGGCAATACAACACTACTTGCACTCCCACCACTTAGCTGATTAGTGCTCACATGCTGCCTCACTGCCCCCTGATCATACATTCCATTCAATAGCAACGGATCAAAACCACCTGCCAATGCAGCTTTCTGCTTTGATAAATTACTAGCTGACTCAACCAATGCCAATTCCCAATCTGCTTTACCAGTCTCAGCAGCTGGTGTTTGCCACGCAGAAGTCACCTCTGGCTCTCCATTTGAAGGAAATGCTTCCCACGAACCATTAGCATTTGACGTGGGTGGTCCAGAGAATAAAGCCAAAGCCAATATGTTCCCTTGCTCGTCAGCTGAAACCGAATCATCCTTTAGATTCACCAGATCCTCTGTCACATGTTGTGGCTGTGTCTTACATTGTGCAGGTTCAGGTGGAGGAAGAGGTGGGGTATAAATCTCTGGTGCAGGAAGAGCTTTTATCTCATTCATATTTGCTTCTATCTCCTCCTTAACTGGTGGTTTCTCTTCCCTAATTCTCTCTGGACTCTTTGGCCTGTTGGCCATTGCCTTCAAAAATCCTTCTAGAGTTCCCAAAACCTTATCGGTAATTCTCTGTACGTCTGGGTACTCAGATGACCTAGCAATTCCCATGTCCTTACACCAACCATACAACCCCACAAGCTCATCAATCATCTTTGCTGCACTAACATAAGCATCAAAACCCTTAACACAATCTGGATACTCCATCTCAGTAAACCGATCCAACAAAATCCCCAAGGCTTCGCATATCTCTACATAAAGCCCGAAACTCTCCTTCAAAATCTGATAAAGTGCAACAAGTACCAACCTGCTACTTTTCGCCATACCAGCTGGCCTACAACCCAAAACTCTATCAAGAATCCTCAACAACTGATTCAGCCTCCCTAAAACTCTCTCTGGCCTCATTTCCCTCATCGGTGTGCCCTCTTTCCTCTGCTCTCTCCGGACAGAATCATTCAAATCATCATAAGACCCTGATATCCTACCCATTCCACGATCATAATCATCTCTAAACTCTCCATATTCGTGCCTATTCCTCTCATCTCTCTCCTCAAACTTCCCCTCCCCATCTCTCCTCTTCTTCTCAAACACCGAAAATTCCACCTTCTCGTCAAGATACATAGCATAAAACCTAACAAAACCGGCATGATCCCACGAATTGGAATGTGCCTCATCCCTAAAATCCGACATATTCAAAACCCTCATCCCTCTCCTAGTCGCATACACAATCTCCTCTTCAAAACAAGGGTTCCCATCAACCAAAAGCCTATGAACAAGCAGCAAAGATTTAAGTGCTACAACCCAATCATGGGTCTTACTCAACCTTTTCGACACCGTAGCAACACAAGCACCAACATATTCTCTAGAATAAGATGAATGGCTCATGATCTCCCTAAAATACTTCTCATCAGATGGATCTTCATCATGACTCGTGGCTTTCACCACCAAAACTTCCAGTTGCGGCGCTATGTTTCCTGCCACTTTGGCTATGCTTATACTCGTTTGATCCTTCACTGCCCCAATCGCTTTACGGATCGTGCTTGGCGCCATTTATGAAAGACTCTGCTTTCCGTTTTAATGTTGAAAATTTGTGTTATATATAATATATAATATAATATATATATATATATATATAAAGATCAAATCTTTATGCTCCAAAACAGCAAAAAAAACTGAAACTGGGTTCTTTCTGATAGCAAATTATAAACTTCTTATTGTTGAAAAGTTCAGTTTTTCATTTTTTTTTTCCTGTAAAAGAATATATAGTAATAGCACTATCAAACTTTTATCCTCCAAAATCGAAACTTCACCAAAAACTAAAAATGGGTTCTTTTTTCTGATAGAGGATATTGATCTCGAAAGAAAGGAAAATGAAAAAAATGGGGTTTATCTGTGCTTACCTTTTGAGGACTTTCTTTGATCGTGGACAAAGAGGAAATCTTTGACTTTTTTTGACGGCGGAGATGAGTCCGTATGGCCGGTGGAAACAATATCCAAGAGACTTAACAGTGACTATGCTTCTTTTTTCTCCTGTTTAGCGTAAGAAGAATTGTGAGAGTGAAGAATCTAAAGTTTCGTGATTGTCTCCATTTCTATCGCTGTGTTATAGTAAAAAGCAAAGAGAGAGAAGAAGCGGGCAAAGATTTGCAAAAGCGCGTGAAAGACGGAAGATGCTTACACTAAGTCTATAATACGACGTCGGATAAACTTTGATAAGGCTTTCCTTTGTTATTGCCAATCTCCGTATGAATTAAAAACCAATTTTCCAAAATTTTACTCTCTTTTTTTTACTGAAATGGGGTTCTAAATTGACCGACTTAAGTTGGTTCGATTTACATTAATTTTTAATTATTTAATTGGTTGATTCGATTTTTATATATATTAAATTGATTTTTAAAATTTTATAATTGAATTGACCATTTGTTTACTTTTATTTATTATGAATTTGATTAAAGAAATTATGGTTTCATCTAAAATTTTTTAACTTTTATATAGGATTAATAGAATAATATATATGATACATTCTTTTTCTTTTTGTGGATTTGATATTAATATAAAGGATATTATTGCATTATCTAAAATTTTTAAATTTTATAAATAGGATTAATAAAATAATATATATTATATAGTAAAAAATTTTTTAATATGAGGCATGCAGTAATTATTTAATTTATTTATAAAATCAAAAAGTTTCACTATAAAAAGATTTTTTTAATATAATTGGGTGATTATTTGTTTTGTGGCCAGCATAATTGAGGATTAAGAATTTTTTAGGAGACTTTTTTTGTTATATCTATTTTAAATTATCAAGTAGAAATGTTTTTTTTTAAGCTATATTTGGTAAAAAGGATAGAAATCAATAAGAAAGGAAATTTTATTAATTTAATGATTAAATTATAAAATAAAAAAGTGATTATAAATTTTAATTATTAAATTAATAAAATTTTCATCTTTAACTCTTTTTATTCTTTCTATCAAACAATCCCTTAAAATAAACAAGCCTTGTCTATCAGTTTTTTGTTGGTCCAACAGATGGTTTTTTTTTTTTTTTTTTTTCAAAATAGTTTAATTAGGTTCATTTTCTAGTATTGATCATATTTTTTTTCTTCATACTATATAATAACATACATAAACATTTAATTTTGTTCCGATCATTTAGTCTAATTTCTATTCTGATAAATCTTGTCACTTATCCCATTGCGTTCATAAAAGCTTTGATTAAAAATCAGTTGGCATTTTATTTTCCTTGCAAAATTAACTTATTTTCTAAATTTTGTTATTCCCAATTAATATGCAAAATTGGATCATCTTTTTTTTTCCTTTGGTTCCATTGGAAAACTCTCATCTCTAATATCAAATAATATAATTAATCATTAATTTTTTAGCAAAAAAAAATTTATTAGGTGCCTATTGAAATAATTAAGCCATTAAAAAATCATAATTAATGTAATAAAAAATACTACGACTATAATACATTAAATAAATCATGTACAACGTACCTCCTTAAAACTTGTTTCACTATTTAAAAAATAATAAAAATTATCATTATTTTATCCAAAATTAAGTAAAGTTTTTTTAATTAATTTTATAATTAAAATTTTAATAATTTTAAATAAATAAAAGACATATAAAAATAAATAAAAATAATTTAAATAAAAATTAACTTTAAATTTAATTAAAAATGCATTTCACATTTTTATACAAAATAATTATAACTTAAAAATAAAAAAACAAATTACATAGTTCGAATTATAAACTTATTGAAAATGGTAACACAAAAATAAGTAAAGGAGATAACCGAGAAAAGTTAAAAACAGCAATAAAAATTAAACTACATTTTAATTTTTATTTTTTTTTTTTGAGTGGCGGAGAGGGTGGTTGTTGCCTTATATTCGCCTCCAAGTAGAAAATTAAAGGAGCAAGGCAACTCTTTTAACGGTGTTGATCTTTCCCGCGAATAGCCAACTTCCAAAGCGAGTAAACTCAATCATCATGTTCATCCTCCGAGTCCACTCAGTGGACAACCAGCAACCCATCACCACCACTGAAGAAATCGAGTTCTATACTACCACTTCCCCACCTAACCCTAACCCTAACCCTAAATTCAGCGAAAGGAGAGGCGTCGTTCACCTCTACCGAAAGGCATCCCAGAGCTCTCTCCCAAACCCTAGCTCTCGCTCCACTTCCCTCTTCGTCGTCGCCGTCCCCAACTACCTCTCCGCCGCCGATTTCATCCTATTCGCTGGCCCCCACCTCGACAATATCACACACCTCCTCTTCATCAGGTATCTTCATCGCCCTTGATCGCGCTGTCTTTTGATCATTGTCGATTCCAATTTCATGAATTTTTTTTCTTAAAAAAAAAGAAAAATCTATCTTCAATGTAGAAGAAAAAGGTAAACTTGTTGATTACTTGATAAGTTAATTTATTAAAAAAAAAATTTTAAATGCTTTATGTTTTGGAAAATTAGGAATGATGGAGTGGAGGATAGATATAGCGTGTTAATAGAGCTAATTGATCAGTCGGCAGCTGACCGATTCTATTGTAGCTTGAACGGGAAGAGGTTTTCACTTGCTGAGGTTGGTAAGCTTTGCCTCAACTTACTACATTTCGATTTTTTGAGTAACAATTTTGATTATTCGGCTGAATTTTTTTTAGGCCGAGTTATGTCATATCCTTTTTACGCATTCTGTGGAATACACGGAATTGGGTGAGATTGCAAGCACACCTCCGGTAGGATTTACTGAGTTGCCTACTTGCCCTATTTGTCTTGGTTAGTAATGAAGTGGAAATTATCCTATTTATCTTGTATGTTCGTGATGTTATGCTTTTTTATTAATTTATTTTTGTGTTTTGGTGACAGAGAGATTGGACCCAGATACTAGTGGGATACTTAGTACATTTTGTGACCATTCGTTTCAATGTTCCTGCACTTCAAAATGGACTTACTTGTCCTGCACGGTAAGCTTGTTCTTGGTTCCCTAAAACATTTTTGCGCTTTGTATTGTCGTGGTGTCTGTTTGTTTTCTTACCATGATCTGAGAGAAGCTTACTTCTTGTATCGATTATGCCATTGCATCTATTTTCTTTAAGACACATGTTCATTTAAATCGTTGCCATTGCAATTTTTGTCTTACAGAGTTATGTTTTATTAATATCATATGTTTTTAGGTCTGCCGATTTTGCCAGCAGCAGGATGAGAAACCAGCCTGTTCTATTTGTGGGTCACTGGAGAATCTTTGGGTCTGCTTGATATGTGGTTTTATGGGGTGTGGAAGGTAATGCGTTATTGGCTGTTTCGCTCTTATCATGTTCAAAACTTTATTGTTATCTAAGTGTAGTTTTAATTTCATTTATTTGTTGAATTTTTTTATGCATTCATGGTCTTTTATATTTCATCTGCTCTTTTCTGGGCACTGCAGATATAAAGAAGGTCATGCCGTTAGACATTGGAAAGATACCCAGCATTGCTATTCCCTTGAGTTAATATCTCAGCAAATATGGGATTACGTGGGTGATGGTTATGTTCATCGATTAAATCAGTCAAAAACTGATGGCAAGTCTGTTGAGATGAACTCTCGTTGTATGTCCATTGAAGGAACTTGTGGTTCCTGTGGCTATGGTGATGATTCTGGAATTAATGAGGCCATCTATAGCAGCAAAGTTGAAGCGGTATATTTTCCTTATAAATAACTTCTGGGCAGGTTATTTTTCAATGTTAAATTGTGAATTGGAAATCTTGGATGTGTCAATCTTTTAAGTCTTACAGGTTCCCCTGCAAGAGTAAAACAATATTGTTAGTTTTAACTGACACTTATATGTCTTTGGCACCGATGGTTTAAATTTATTGGAACAAGCTAATGGAGAGTTTTGAATCAAATCATAGTATCATACTTTGTACTTTTATTTTGAAATACTTTGTCTTTAGTTTTGGATAAACAACAATGTAACTGCCGCAATTTACATGTATATGTGCTGACTTAAGTGCCATGAAACAGATTTTTGATGAGTACAGCCGTCTTCTGGCTACAGAGCTGGAGAAACAAAGACAAGTAAGAATACCACTCCTGATGCTATTTTAATTTGTACCACTGTTGCTATTGTAATTTGGACTATTAAGAATTTTTATTATTTATACTGTTTTTACTCCCCCTTCCCCAGAATTATGAATCTCTACTTGCTGAAGCCAAAAGCAAAAGAGATAGTTCCATTGCTGAAGCTGTGGAGAAAGCTGTGACATTCGAGATGAAGGACATTCAAAGTAAATTGGATAAGTGCACTGAGGAAAAAAATGCTCTTGCTGAGGTGTGTTTAACACATTTCAATGTAAAATTTTGCATGCACTTACTTCGTGCAAAGCATTGACATAATAGGTTCTTTTATAACATCATTATCAATCGCACAGTTTGTTGCATTAGTTACCATTCTGTTTTTTTGGTCACAGATCAATCGCAATCTCATTAAAACCCAACAAGTTTGGCGTGAAAAGGTCAAGGAAATTGAAGAGAGGTAATCTCTTTTCCAGCCTGGATCTATAAACATAATTCTTCTCTTGTTTTCTTGCCCAAAAGGGGGAAATTTTGCATTGCTTACCTATTATTTTTAAACGAGTTGTTTCATCTGTTGCTGGCTTGCTTGTTTTCTTGCTTTTGGCTATTCTCTTTTTTGGCTTCCAGATCTTACATGGTGTCTTTGTTTTCCTTTTAGGGAAGCTTCTCAATTAAGGTTGAAGGATGAGAAGATGCTTGATCTAGAAGAGCAGGTTTGTTAATTACCAAAATTTATATGTTCCTCTGCTATTGATGGAGATTATTGGCCCTGACAGTAGTATATCGTTACAGATACGTGATCTTAAAGTCTATATTGAAGCTCAGAAGACATTCATTGACATGACAGATTCAGATAGCATCAGGGGAGGGACGCTCTTACCTGTTCCTCCAACACAATCCTCCTCAGCTAACACCAGGAGGCACAAGAAATCAGGTCGAAGGAGGAATTAGGTAAATGTGATTATCCTGAGAAAAAGCACAACCCTGTTTTGTGTATAGTTTGAATAATTCTTAGAAAATTTCTAGATACTGCAAAAGTTTCTGAAGATTTAGAATAGTAAGCATTTTTCTTTACAGTAAAATTTAATTACCAATGTCTTGAAATAT